ATCATAATTAATATGAATGAGTGATTAGAAATACAATCAAGCCTTCAAATATTATTGAGTAATACTATAAATGCTGAGTGGATGTTAGGCAAACTAAGGCATGATTTCTGATGTAAAGATACTTATATTCTAGCCGGGTAGAGAAGACATCAGCACTTAACAAAGTAGCTAATAAGTGAGTCAACATATTTACACACATCTGTTGCATTAAATTGAAAACTCAGACCTTATTGTTAATGACAATCAACTTACACTTTATAGAAAAATCCCCGCCCCGGTCAGCCTCCGGCGCCAGTGCCTCCTCTCCCCACGACCCCTCCCATCAGGCTCGCACGCCCCACCACGCCCCGCTCAGTTTTCAAACAACGTTTTGATTGATTTCAGAGAGGAAGGGAGCGGGAGGGCGGCTTTTGCACCGGGCTCTGCAGGAGATCACTCCCAGGCCTTCGTTGCAGACCCAGTCGGCCCTCTTGCTGCTAATAGCATTTTTCCCTTCAACCCCTTCGTGACCTCGGACCGCAGCAAAAACCGCAAACGCCACTTCCACGCCCCCTCGCACGTGCGCCGCAAGATCATGGCCTCCCGGCTCTCCTAGGAGCTGCGGCAGAAGTACAGCGTCCGCTCCGTGCCCATCCGCAAGGGCGACGAGGTCCAGGTTCGGCCCCCTCGGGCTCTCGGGACTCAGATGCGTCGCACGCCGGCGCCGCCGTGGCCTGAACGCGCCCTGTGAGCCTGGACGTGAGGGAGGCATGGCCTTCGCTTGCCCTCGGCACCCACCCCCGGCAAGTGCTGGGACCCCGCCGCGGTGTTAGACCGGAGGTGCGGGCCCAGAGCCACCAGAGAGCACCCGCCCCGCCTAGTTAACAGCATTCAGGTTCAATTCTCTATTAAGAATTTATTTTTTAAAAGAATGTGTCGGCCCAGCAAGCTGTTTGATCAGCCCCCTGGCTGCTAGTTTGCCAGGCGTTGCTCAGGGCGGCTTTTGCACCGGGCTCTGCAGGAGATCACTCCCAGGCCTTCGTTGCAGACCCAGTCGGCCCTCTTGCTGCTAATAGCATTTTTCCCT